ATTATGATTGTTAAAAAAGAAAAGAGACATCTAACCATCATAACCAAATTAGGCTACATTTATTGTCATATTAAATATCTCAATACACATTATGACATCAATATGACATTAAGCACAACTTGTGTAGATTTATTTAGTAAAAAGGCTTGACTGCTCATTTTGGCGTATATTTGTATACTTTTACCATTTAATCAATCTCAGCATGCGTTAATTTTGTGTCGCTAGACATTTGCATCACTAAGGCTAAATTATGCCTAAGTCTTTCTTTGGCCTGCGCTCTGGAAGTGATCTGTTAATTCTGCTAACCTTTAATTAAAACTGAAACTAAACTATATAAAAACTAAATAAAAATGTGTTCACAAAATAAAAACTAAACTAAAACTAACAACAATATTAATGAAACTAATAAAAACTAAACTGAATTGTATCGCAAATTTGAAAACGATATTAAAATAAAACTAATTTAAAAAGTCAAAACTATAATAACCTTGATGCTAACAAAGTTTTAATAATCGCTCTAACTCTGAGATCAGGGCTTAAAGGGGATATGAAATGAAAATTCTGTCATTAATTATTCACCCTCATGTCATTCCAAACCCATAAGACCTTGTTAGGTTCATCTATGGAACACAAATTATTATATATTTGATGAAATCAGAGAACTTTCTGACCCTGTATAGACGGCAATAGAACTGACACGTTCGAGGCCCAGAAAGGTAGTAAGGACATGGTTAAAATAGTCCATGAGACGTCAGTGGATCAACCTTTATTTTATGAAGCTTTGAGAATACTTTTTGAACGCAAAGAAAACAAAAATAACAACTTTATTCAACAATTTCTTCTCTCTGTCTCAGTCTTCAATGTGCATTTATGACAATACCACGACGCACGTAATTAATGGCAGAATTTTCATTTTTGGGTGAAATATCCCTTTAACAATGTGCATGAGTGCATTGAAAAGCTTCAGAGAGCCTATGAAAATGTGTAATTATTAATGTGTAATGTGTTCTTACTTAATAAAGGGATACAAGAAGACATTTACAAGCAAAATGATTTCATTTTTTAGTATTCAAAAAGTACATTCGATTTTTAAATATTTCTTCTTCAAACTGTGTTTAATACTTAAATTATAATGATGTGTAAACAAAGTATTATACCAATATGATATATAAACATATAGTACAAATATTAACCAGGAAAAAGTAAACATTTATCTATAATGCAGGACTTTATTTATAAACAAACTCAAAATACAATGAAACTCTTATTTTGAAAATGTTATGCTTTACTATTACTATTGCATATTTCAACATTACAATTTACAACCATAAAGTAAACACTGTCATAAATGGGCGGTAATCGTTGATTGCAAAGTGCTCTGAAACCGTAAAATTGTAGAATGAAGAACAGCTGAAGAAAAAATGAAGAAAGTTTAATAATCGCATTAGGCTGTATCGCATTTCCTGACTTTCTGTCCCCAAATTTAAGTTGTCTTATAATGATATGACGATTAGATATTTAGGGACCTGCAAGGACTTGTTAATGGTCCGAAATACATTTTACAGTATGCACCAGGGGCGTTTCCTCTGAGGAGGCAAGGGAGGCAGTGTCTCCTCAAAAAATTGGATGAGAAAATAATCGATATTACAAAAATTAAACAATGCAAATATTACTAAATATGACAATAAAAGTATAAAAGTCACTCATTTTTATAAAGTAACACTGTCCCATAGCTACACCCGCAGGTAAAGTTTACAGTGGAGGCTTGCCTCATTTTGGCCCATTGACTTTCAACAGAGACCCCATAGCATGCCGTGAGTTTAGTGGGGGGTAATTGAGATTGAATGGGGGAAAGTCACATGACAGAGAGGAGGCAATGCGTCATGCTATAATTGGATATGATCGGTAATGATTGGATCTGATTGGTTCGTGCAATAAACCCCACCTCTTGTTTTCGTGTGAGCTCTCGGACTGAATGAAGACTAATTTTAAAGTAAACAACTCACCCGCTTAGATATCACTGCTTTGTGTCACGTCAAAATAAAACTTGTAAAAATGGCCTGAGAATGTGATGACTGTGTCAGTTAGTGAGCATTCATCTTGATGAAATGAAAGATGTATCTTCATGTCTGTGACAGTGTTTACAAAAATTGGATGAGAAAATAATCGATATTACAAAAATTAAACAATGCAAATATTACTAAATATGACAATAAAAGTATAAAAGTCACTCATTTTTATAAAGTAACACTGTCCAATAGCTACACCCGCAGGTAAAGTTTACAGTGGAGGCTTGCCTCATTTTGGCCCATTGACTTTCAACAGAGACCCCATAGCATGCCGTGAGTTTAGTGGGGGGTAATTGAGATTGAATGGGGGAAAGTCACATGACAGAGAGGAGGCAATGCGTCATGCTATAATTGGATATGATCGGTAATGATTGGATCTGATTGGTTCGTGCAATAAACCCCACCTCTTGTTTTCGTGTGAGCTCTCGGACTGAATGAAGACTAATTTTAAAGTAAACAACTCACCCGCTTAGATATCACTGCTTTGTGTCACGTCAAAATAAAACTTGTAAAAATGGCCTGAGAATGTGATGACTGTGTCAGTTAGTGAGCATTCATCTTGATGAAATGAAAGATGTATCTTCATGTCTGTGACAGTGTTTACAGGGCTTTTATAACGATGACCTGAAAATAAGTTAAAAAGAACAGCTGGACATAAATTCACAAAAAAAAGTGTCTATTTACATTAAAGTCCCCCTGTAGTAAAATTTTTTATCCCTTAAATCTCATCTTTGATCATCAAAATTACATATTTAAATGTTTTTTTTCTTGTGAAAATAATTTTCTCATGCCTTAAAATTGCTTGAATGTAACTACATCAGGGGTGGCGAACTCCAGTCCTGGAGAGCCGCAGACTTCAGCTCCAACCCTAATTAAAACTCACCTGCCTGTAGCTTCCTAGTAACCGTTCAGACCTTGATTAGCTTGTTCAGGTGTGTTTGATTAGGGTTGAAGCAAAACTCTGCAGGGCTGCGGCTCTCCAGGACCGACGTTCGCCACCCCTGCTCTACACCCTTGCCTCATTTACTATACGCAGATCTATGAATACGCAAATTGGCCCCATCTCCACTCAGTCACACCAGCCAGGGCCTCCTGATCCAGGGATAATGACTGATAAAACTGTTTTTACTAGCGGACAACCACAGTGGATACTGTAACAGTCATTAAAGTTACTTGACGATGTTGTGTCCTCAAAATGCCTTAAACTCGATTGCAGCCAAGTTTGTGCTTCTTAATTCGCACCTGCGAGCAATGCGTGAGAAGTGCGGACGCCAATGCGGGAGAGGTGGGTCTGACTCCAGGCTACTTTTACACTGTTACCGCAGGTTTTTATTCAAGTTAGCGGTTCTAAATTCACGTTAAACCACGGCTTCATGGGTTTTTTGCTCTATTTTATTTTTGGTTTTCTGCTGGTAATCCTATTGGTATATTTTGCATGCAATCTCTATGCTATGATCTCAATGTGCGCCACATTTGTGTAAATGGAGAGAGGGATATGCTAATGATAGGAATCTGTCCCTTGACGTGATTGGTTATTGATTTTTGTGACATAGCAAACCGAGGGCTTTTTCAAACCGTTTCTGGGACTGCCATTGGGAAACTACAGTTTTAAGGAGAAAATACTCAGCAATGGTGTTGATTAATGGATTGGCACTAGGGCTGTGAGATATGGACAAAAAAAACCTATCGCGATTTCTTTGATCAATTTTGCGATTTCGATTTTAATCACGATTTTGACACGCACAGACATGCTTTAGTCATAAATGCATTCAGTGTGAATTTGAAACATATTTCCAAAAGAAAACCAATTAGAGCTTTATCAAGAAGCTGTAACATGTCTCTAGAACAGACATAAGGCAAAATAATCACTAAGTAAAGGTGTAACAAAATGTCTCTAGAATAGACATATGGCAGCCAACCCTAATTAAAACTCACCTGCCTGTAGCTTCCTAGTAACCGTTCAGACCTTGATTAGCTTGTTCAGGTGTGTTTGATTAGGGTTGAAGCAAAACTCTGCAGGGCTGCGGCTCTCCAGGACCGACGTTCGCCACCCCTGCTCTACACCCTTGCCTCATTTACTATACGCAGATCTATGAATACGCAAATTGGCCCCATCTCCACTCAGTCACACCAGCCAGGGCCTCCTGATCCAGGGATAATGACTGATAAAACTGTTTTTACTAGCGGACAACCACAGTGGATACTGTAACAGTCATTAAAGTTACTTGACGATGTTGTGTCCTCAAAATGCCTTGAAGACTCGAATGCAGCCAAGTTTGTGATTCTTAATTCGCACCCGCAAGCAATGTGTGTGAAGTGCGGACGCCAATGCGGGAGAGGTGGGTCTGACTCCAGGCTACTTTTACACTGTTACCGCAGGTTTTTATTCAAGTTAGCGGTTCTAAATTCACGTTAAACCACGGCTTCATGGGTTTTTTGCTCTATTTTATTTTTGGTTTTCTGCTGGTAATCCTATTGGTATATTTTGCATGCAATCTCTATGCTATGATCTCAATGTGCGCCACATTTGTGTAAATGGAGAGAGGGATATGCTAATGATAGGAATCTGTCCCTTGACGTGATTGGTTATTGATTTTTGTGACATAGCAAACCGAGGGCTTTTTCAAACCGTTTCTGGGACTGCCATTGGGAAACTACAGTTTTAAGGAGAAAATACTCAGCAATGGTGTTGATTAATGGATTGGCACTAGGGCTGTGAGATATGGACAAAAAAAACCTATCGCGATTTCTTTGATCAATTTTGCGATTTCGATTTTAATCACGATTTTGACACGCACAGACATGCTTTAGTCATAAATGCATTCAGTGTGAATTTGAAACATATTTCCAAAAGAAAACCAATTAGAGCTTTATCAAGAAGCTG